GAAAAGCGTCCGAATCAAGGCCCCGAATTTTAAATAGAAAAACCTCCCGGTTTAAGCCCCCGATTCAAGCCCCCGAAGATTGAACCCCCAAGAATAAAGATAAACCCTCCGACTTGAGGGCTATAATTAAATAGAGAAACCTCCTGGCCTAACCACCCGAAATTTGAAACCCCGAATAAATTAGAAAAAACATTCCGAATTAACCGCCCCCCCAATTAAAGAGAAAAGCGTCGGGATAAGGCCCCAAAATATGTATCCCCAAATTAAATTGAAAAACCTCCCGATTTAAGCCCCCGAATATTAAACCCCCGAGTTTAAGAGAAAGGCGTCCAAATTATGGCCCTCAAACGTAAACCATCACCCATATCAATAGAAGAACCTCCCGATTTAAGCCCTCGACTCAACCCAATGACGACTGAATCCCTGAATCAAATTGAAAAACCATACGACTTAAACCACCCGGACATTGAAACCTCCGACTTGAGGCCCCCGAATTTGAACTCCAAAGTAGATAGGATAGTATTTGAATTAACATAAGTCAATAGTTATAAATCTCCTAATTAAGTGGGAAAACCTCCCGACTTAACCCCCCGGGGATTGAACCTCCGAATAATATAGAAAAGCCACCGACTTGAACCCCCTGATTAAATAAAAAGCCTCCAATATACCTCCCGAATTGAAGAGAAGATCATCCGAACTAAGGTCCCGAATCAATTGAAATACATCACGATCGGACCCTCCAAATTGAATAGAGAATCCTCCCGGCTTAAGCCCCGACGACTGAATACCGAATTAAATAGAAAACCATACGACTTCAACCACCCGAACTTTAGAACCCCCGACTTAACACTCCGAAGATTGAACCCTCAAGATAAAAGAAAAACCCACCGACTTGACCACCCGAAATTCAAATTCCTGACTTTAATAGCAAAGCCTCCCGACTTGAACCCCCGAATTAAATAGAATAAGGAAAACATCCCGACTTAACCCCCCGAAGATTGAACCCAGGAATTGATGGAAAAAAGCCTCCGATTTAAGCCACCTTAAGTTTAGATCCCTAATCATATAAAAGAACCTCCCAACTTAACCCCCAGGATTGAAATTTGAATCAAATAGAGAAACCTCCCGATTTATCCAACTGAAATTTGAACCCGCGTATTGAATAGAAAAGCCTCCGACAAAACCCCCCAATGACTCAACCTCCGAATTATGTAGAAGACCTCCGGACTTAACACCCCGATTAAATGGTAAAGCCTCCGAATTAAAGCCTTGAATTAACTATAAAAACCTCTTGATTCAAGCCACCGACTAAATCCCCGAATCAAATAGAGAAATCTCCCGACTTTTCCCCCCGGAGATTGGACCCCCGAACTATTCAGAAAAGCCTCCGAATTAAGCTCCCTCATATATATACCCCTCCAATCAAATAGAAAAACCCTCTGAATCAAGCCCCCAAATAAATAGGGAAACCATCCGACTCAACCCCTCACCCCGAAGATCGAACCCCGAATTAATATAGAAACCCCCGACTTAAATCCCCCCGTTGGTAGAACCCTCCGAACATTGAACCCCCGAAACCCCCCGACTCGGCTTTCATCGGCGTTTTCATTTGCCGGTGGCTTTCGGCGTTTCGGCGTTTGAGTTGAACCCCCCAGTCCGGGCACAACGCCGAACCCCGAACACCGAAAAGGCCAAATGAGGGGTGGGTCGGCGTTCCGGAGTTTTCTTTGCTTTCAATGGAATTGTATTCGCCGTGCGATCGGGGAGTTTTTACTTGGGAAATACAAGTTGGATTTGTAATTGGAGGGATTCATCTTGATTGTGGGGGTTAGTTATCCGCTACTGAGTGGTTCGGTGGGGTATTTGGGGTGTTTCTTTGGACTTGCTCGACTGCTAGGAGGGGTTTATCTTCGACTGGGTTCTATGATGGTAGATCGGAAGATTATAGCACTAAGTATTAGCAATTTATCTCGTAGATCTTGCTTTGGGGGACTATAATAATGTCATGGATGAGCGGGATGGCAACGCCGGGTAGAAAGGGACCTTTATGGTTATCGAAGATAAATGGACGAAAATGGATATCACGAAGCATGTAAATATAAGGATGATTATCTGCTTATCTCCTTGTCTTTCAACAATCAAATTATCTATGAGCAATCTTCTGGCTCCACTTCATCTATACCCGGAAGGTTGAGTATTGTGCGCACAAGAGCACATGCAAAGCCTATAGCGAACTTGGTGTTCCTCGCTCGGGGAATGAACTGAATTATTGGACATGCTCATCTCAGTTTGCAATTGCAGGGCAAGAAACTGGTGCTTGTAGCGCTGGGGGTCAAGTAAGCCTTTAGGTTCTGTCATACCATATCATAAATCGTTTGGGGTTCTATCAATCCCCGCTGTCTTGATCCTCGACAATTACATGATAACCATTATGCTCTTATGGGTTATATTTAAATCAAAGGCTACAAATAGGAAATTTGTGAATTGTTGTTTCAATGACAGTTTTGGCATTGAGTGATTGATAACATTTACTAACTCCAATCCTTCATAACTGGGACTGTAGTTCATTCAATAGGATATTCCAGTAGCATATATTCGAATTCTAAGAACGCACAAATAAAATTCTACAGTGAGGCACACGACATCATGCGTTGGGGCCCGAATAAAAATAGCCGGACATGCAAGCTTGACCCGGACAAGCTTTTCGCTAAGTTCTTGGCTAACCAAGGCCAGACTGTCTGGCTGGCTGGCACCGTTCAGCTAGTGCCAACCTTGAAGGCAACTGATGAACGCTGAATGGACTGGTCGCTGCTGCGCCACTTTTGAGAATGTGCTGCTGCCTAGTCTCCTCTTTTCTGCCGAAGACCCTGGATATTGCCCGATCGCTCGTGAAGTTTTCACTGCACTCCATGCGGCATCGGTCCGTGTCGACGAGAGCGCATCGCAAATATGGCATATGAAGTCTCACGCGATCAATCTGAGGAAGGAGAGCCGTCCTCTTCTCGCGTTTTCGCTAAACACTCCCCTTTGGAGATGGTTCCTGAGGTAGAATCCGATCAGGATGAGAGCAGCTTCGAAACTCTACCTCTAGCCAATTTTGGTCCTAAACGTCGGCGACGGCGAACCATCACTCGAATACATCGCGGCAGGCTGCGCAGTCTATGTAGTTCCTGGAAATGCCGTCATTTGTATTGTCACATTCACCCGTACTCCCGGAGAGCCATGCTCTGCAGATTCGTAAAGCGTCCCTTCTGGGGTGTCGTTATCGTGCTGTGAGTATCGCTTGTCACCTGCAGCTGCATCAATGGTCGCTCGCTAATCCCATCAAGCGGCCTCCTCAAAATCGCCTCCCTCTTCTGGTCTGGCTTAGTATACCTCTTTCCAGACGACCTTGACGCCCGTCTGGACGCTTGGGTCTTCCCCGCCGGTCGCTCATCCATATTCTCGCATTGGACCACCCACGGTGTCGTCCCCGTGCGATGCCACTCACACAACAACTACTGGCGCGATGTACCACTCCATTCGGCCCTTACCGCCGGCTGCATCGGTGTTGAAGCCGACGTCTGGCCATCCAACAATGACTTGCTCGTCGGACATACCCCCTTCACCTTGCACCACGAGGTCACTCTCCAAAGCCTGTATCTCAATCCTCTTCTGGACCTGCTCCAGAAGCACAACACACGCTCCAGCCAACTCGAGCCCGCGCACCATCCCGGAAGCTTCCGGGCCGGAGTATTCTCCAGCGACCCATCACAGACCCTGGTCCTGCTCATCGATTTCAAAGAGCAGTCGGAGGCCACTTGGTCCATGGTGATGGAGCAACTCCAACCCCTCCGTGACGGTGACTACCTCACATATTTCAACGGCACAGACATCATCACCCGGCCCCTCACAGTCGTCGTTACCGGCGATGCGCCCTTCAATCGCATCACATCGAACCAAACATACCGGGACATCTTCTACGACGCCCCGCTAGACCAGCTGGCCCTCCTTCCACCCAGTACCGAACAACCCGATCCTCCAGGTCCAGAAACAGAGCCTACCTACTCATACAAGAACAGCTACTATGCCTCTGTCGACTTCCGCAAGACTGTCGGTAGTCTATCCCGCAACCGCTTCTCGCAGGGACAGCTGGAGCTGGTCCGCAAACAGGTTGAAGCTGCGCACGCGCGGGGTTTGAAGGTGCGGTACTGGGGAACCCCGAGCTGGCCGCGGGGTTTGCGGAACCATGTTTGGCATGTTTTGGTGAGGGAGGGAGTGGATTTGATCAATGTGGATGATTTGAGGGAGGCCACGAGGCAGGATTGGAGGAAGCATCGGAGTTGGTTTTTTTGATGGTTGTGGATGGAGTAGCATAGTTCTGTGGGTATATATGTTGGTGGAGTTATGGAAATGTGAATGTGAATGTGAATTACCCATTGATATTACTCTGTCTTACCTGGGTAAATAGTTCGGTATGCAATAATCCGGTGTAGTAGAGAAGTATGGGGACTTAATCAACCCTAATAAGGTAGTGACATCGCAAACATCCTACGAAAGGGAAAACTCCTACTGGTTGATAGTCTCCTAACAATACCAGACGCGATGAGAAGAACATTATATTCAAAGCATCAAGATGGCATTCTCTAGGAATCTGCCATATAAATATCCATCAGTTTCAACCACTACGTACATACAAGTAGTGGCAACGGGGCATCTTCGGAGGCGGATAAATCCCTGCACCGACCGCATCACGAAGTCCCCTTGTCTCCAGGAGGAAACCAATTTCACCATTACATATAGCCCAATTCTGCCACGGCTCTGTCAGAATCCAGTGGTCCGTGATCTCTGTATCTCCTTCTTATTAATAGGATCTGCTTCTTTGATAAACATGGACTACTTTGAAAGTGATCTCGTCAAGCCTCCAATTCCCTATACCAAGGGATGGAGATACAGTGCCCGATCACATACTACACCAGCGCCCACACCAGTGACCCTAGATGGATGTCGCAACTCCGACAATGGGAGAGAAGAAAGAGCAGCACTCGGTCCTGTGGCTCGATGCTGCAAACATCCTCCGCTACCAGGGGATCTTGGGCAACAAACTGTCGACCTCGAGGTCTTGGACCCTATAAGAGTCGGTGACGGACATAGTGCACAAGTCTTTAAAGTCCGTGTCCTGAACCCAAAGTGCAACACCGAGACATTTCAAGGGACAGAGGACTTGGTTGCTAAGGTGTATGATCCACTCTACCTCAATGATCATGACGGTTATCTCAATCCATTTCTCTGCGTGGATAAGCATTACACCCATGAGGCACAAACGTATCGGGTGCGCTCTGATCTCAAGGGGACCTGATACCCCGCTTTTACGGGTCTTATTCTACCGATATCAATTGTCAAGATATCGGTGACGATGCGGAGACAAATGAAATGTGTTCACGGACTGTCCGCCTGATCTTGAATGAGCATGTCCCTGGAAGATCGATGCTACAAGCCGGCCCAAGCAATTTCCCCCAACGGGATCGTCAGCAAATCATGAAATCCGTGATAGAATTTGAGTCTGAGGTCTATAGACGAGATATACTACTTACCGACTTGAGTCCCAGGAATGTCATGATGGTTCCACCGGGCTCGCGCCGGCAATGCAACCTTGTATTTCTGGACTTTGCTGGCGCTCTCTTCGGCCGAAAGCTGGATGAGCCGCTGCTTGCCGGTAGGAGTTTTTCCTCGGGCAGTATATTTCTCCAATCCTGCGATGGAAGAAGGGTATGAAGCTTGAATTCGACGACTGGATTGACTGGGAATGGGCAGACTGGGTCGATGCGGAATTTGCTTATACCGCCCACACTATCACTCCAGCAATGCGTGAGAGATACAGTAAGAAATAGGTGTGCCCAAACGGCAGGATGGTTTCATGAAAATTATTTCCTCTGCAAACCAACCGGATTCTACACACATCAGTGCATTCGAATCCAGGTTCAACCAGTTGAACTGCAATGCCAGCTCAGATGACATACCGCTATCGACGGGCATCGTATGGCAGAGTCTGGCTGATCTTGAGGTGTTACGGATTGACATTGGTACTCCGTAGTGGCACGAGTATTTCCGTATTTCCGTTATTTGCCACGTATAATCCACACCGTCACAAATCATGGACTGTGCGACGTGCAAAAAGCAACATTCTTACATTTGTATCTGATGTTATGAAGGGATCTGATGTGACTTTTGTGGGTAATGAGTGCTACCACTAATGCGGGGGTTCTGTCCACGGGATGCACCTAACCTGGATATTACTTACTACCACTACGTGGGACGATGACATTGACTAGGATCCGATTTGCGGAGGCTTGGCCTGGGGACCCCGCACTGGACCCAGTGTGCTTATGCAGGTGCTATGATCTTCTCGAAGTGCAGTCGAAGGCATATGTGGGTCTACTAACTACGATGAGGCTAGAAGTTCCATGTGTGAAGGGTATGAAAAAAATCTGTATTCAAACAGTATGTCCAAGGGTCATCGCTGAAAGTTCGACAAATGCAAAACTATGTACATCAAATGCTTCGTATCACCAAATCATGGCATGTGTTTCTGTTTTTTTACAGCTTCTCCTGGGTCTTGCTGGCCTTGTTGAACCGCTCGAAAGAGGAGACCGGGGGAGCGGAGTTGGGGTTGGGGTGGTGCTTCTTCAGAGCCATGGTGACGTTGTACTCCAGGTCGAGCTGGGCCTTGGGGTCATCGGTCTTGGGCTTGAAGTCGACAACCAGATCGTCCTTGACGGCGAAGACGGAGTCGATGTCGAGGTGAGGGTCGTCGGAGGGGTAGATCTGGTTGATGACGGTGGCGTAGTCGGGGTGGGTGATCATCAAGTGAATGTGGGCAGGACGCATGGGAGAGCGGTCCATGATGTTGAGGAGAACACCGGCGGGACCGTCGGTGGGGAGAGAGTAAGGAGTGGGGTGGTAGCAGTACCACCAGAACTCGCCCTTCTCGTTGGAGCGGAACTTGCCGCGAAGGTTGTTCTCGGTCTGGTTGGGGTCCTGGAAGTCGTACTGGCCGTTGGCGGAGGCTTGCCAGATGTCAAGAACGGCACCGACGATGGGAGCACCAGTCTCCATGTCCTTCAGAACACCGTGCATGAAGGTGACCTTTCCGTTGGGGTTGGGGTCCTGAATGATGCTGTCGCCGAGCTCACGGAAGGGAGCGTTGGGAGACCAGAAGGGACCGAGAATGACGTTGGAGGTGGGGGAGACACCCTCCTCAGTGATGATCTTGTTGGCGATCTCATCGACAAGGCTGTGGGGAGATGAAAGTTAGCTTTAAGTTTGCTGCGACCGCTGTTTTTGTGTGGTAGACTTACGATTCCAGACCGATAACATCGCAGATACGGTGGCACTCGTTACGGATGGGAGTGCTGATCTTTCCGATGGAGTTGATGAACTCGACACCAAGCATCCACTCAGCGGAGGTAAGCTCAACCTCACGAGCGAAGTCGTGAATGTGTCTGATCAGGGCGCCAAGGACCACACGAGCACGCTCGGGGGTCTTGGGTCCCATGGAGTTGACCACATAGGGAGTGAAGTTAGGGTCGAAGCGGCGGTTGGTAGACATGTTGTCTGTGTTGTGTATGTATGGTATGAAGAGGAGAAAGGTAGAAGGTAAAGGTTGAGAGAGGAGTGAGATGTAGAATGATGAGAGACAAAAACTCAGCGAGGTCTGGAGGGTCTATATACACGATGAATTTGGTCGTGGCAAGTCTGGATAGAACGGCGAGCGACGGCAAATCGATCGGCTACAACTCCGTGTGGGGACAGTGCGACGGTACCAGACACCCAAAGTTACCGTTGCCACATGCCGACGGATCTGATGGGTTGCATGATGCGATGTTTCAGTTTTCGCAGTTCGTAGTGGGAACAGCCGAACGACGGCAGGTTGCATTTGCCTTGCCGAATTAGCAAGATTACCTGCATATCAAAATCGATAATTGATTCTGATATCAATCTGCATTGCTGCGCGGTGATCCCCGGGGTTGCTCTTACCCGCGGGTAAGTGCTCCCTGTCTTCCCCAGCTCTCCGCCTTCCTATCCGGACTGACGCCTCCTCGACGAACTGTTTTTCCGCCCTGCCGTTCACCTACCGGCCAACAGCCTTGCTGGAATGGGCTGATTACACTTCAGGGCTACTACCACTATTCTCAAGGTGTGGACCAATCAAGATGGTTCAAGTAGTAATCCTACTTGGGGAAGTAGCTGAGCCTTTTGTCAGCTCTTCGATCTCTCCCCGATTCAAATGGCATCTTACGACATACCATCATAAATACACAGAATAGGTACTTCAAATCTATTGGACTTTGTCTCTCATAGTGAATACAGAAGAACCTGTCACGATCAATGTCCTGGCAATCCCTCTATGCTGCTCATAATTCTGCCGGCAAGTCGACGGCTGGCAATCCGGGGGCGGGGGCGGGGTGACTGCCGGGGGGAAAAACAAAAACCTGCGCTCTTCCCCAAAGAGGACAGCGGTGTGTGCGCCTTTACTTTTTGACGGGTTCTAATTGGCGCTGACCCTTTCCGGTCTCGAAGCCGATATGAGACCGGCATCCGGGCAGGACCCCGTTGCCGTTGGGCACGTGCCATCCTTAATCTCGGGATTGACAAGCGGGGCGGCATACCGATGCCCCGGGAAGAATGACCCCAGGTCAACCACGCTGCACTGTAGGGCAGTATCCGGGGTGGTGATTAACCACGGCTACCCCTGGATGTCGTATGATTGTAAGCCGGGGGGGTGGATCTACCCTCTTCCCTCTCAACACGGCATCGCTGCCGACTCTGATTCACTCTTCCGTCGAGTTGAGTATTGCGGATGAGCTACCGGTAGAATCAACCATCTACTGCCGTGACAGGACACTTCTTTTACACATCAGACCATATGTGACTATACGAGTATAGTCTCTACTCAATCTCGAAACAATTCGGTTTTTTTACACAGTTTGGCGCCTTCCAAGCCAAGTTGAGTAGCATCTGTGCAGTAATAGACAGTGTCAGACCAGTTTTCCACGCGAGACCTCACATACATCTGTCCCTGGTAGTCCACGCCAACTGACAGCCCTGCCTCCCACAAGCTGGGCTAACCTGACTCAGTCAGTCAAACCTCATTGGCGCGCATTCCCGCCTGCGATCTATGCACCAAGGAGCCTAACCACGTGCAACCAGCTTTAGTGATGTGGATCGGAAACTTACCAATACACCACAAATAGACACGAATGGTAGACTCTTCTCCCCTGGCTAGCCGCAAGAGGCATCCGAGGAACTTTCCATGTCGTCAAAGCTCCAAGACCACGACATACTATCCGTCTTTGACAAGCGGATCCCGTCCAGGGACAAACAAATCCCCGGGAGTGGGCACCAGGACCGTCCCGGTTCCTTCCCCGGATATTCCCAAACCTTCTATACTTGGATACGTCTGCGGCAGGGACCAGGCTAGGTCATAGTTGCAGTAGTCAGCCCACCTAGTAGCCTCTTGGCTGCCTGTTGTCATCGCCTGAGGCACCAAGTGGACTTAAAACGGTCTAGACTGGGCTCTGTACGCTGTTCGATTAGTCTTTCCCCGGTATTAGCACGGCCCGTTCCTGGCTAATTGTCTATTGGTGCAGTCCCTGCAGTCGGAGGGTCCAGCAAGTGGTTCGTCCTGGTTCAACGTTCGTCGGGGAACCGTGTAGTCGTGGACACTTGTTGGCAATCCATGTCAGAGGCGAACCATTAAACATAATGCAAACTCCTCATATATATCTAATTCATTCAGTAGACTTTTTACCAGTTGAAATTCTTTATAGGTGAAACTCATTTGTACGCGATTCAGTTTTCGAAAGTTGTATAGATTTGGACATGTCTCATTGCGGAAGCCTTCATCATGGGTTTTTGCTTCCAATAGACCTTTTCATCAGTCAATGTAATATAAGACTATTAAGTTTGATATTTTTTTCTATAGCCCTAGTTAAATAAGTCTGTTCTAAGCAGCTAATTTCTGATGTATGCCAAAATCCAACTGTCGAAAGTCGCGTTGGCTGATTAGTTCTGATGATGGTGTAGATATATATTTTTATACCTTACTATATTCTAGTACCGTACTTATTAGACGCTGAGCACCAGTTGGAAAAGGCCCTTCCAATAGACGAAAATGGCCAATGAACTATAAGCCTTATTCTCCATTATATTCAACGATTACCCTAGAATGTAGTTACGATCGAAAGTCTCATGTCTCATAATCAGGCCTGTACTGAATTGCGCGACCATTGTTGTTGAGGATATCGATGCCTCAGGCATGAATGCTTTGTACGCAACCCTAGCACCTTCAACCAAGGGCCAGTTGCAAACGTAGGAATCAATTGGCCGCAATAAAGAATAGACTTCCCAATTCTGGCCACTCCATCGTCCCATCTACGAATCAGTCCAATTTTGCTGCTGTGCTCCCATGGTCACCTCCTTGCCGATGCATGGTACATTGTTCCTCCGCTCCGCTGAGTCGGTTGGGGTCAGACCCGATCCTGCCCGGGGCGGCAGTTACGCTAACCGGCGACGCCCGGCCACTACAGGCTCGGTAGTTGAAGAATGTCAGCATCCGTGATCCTCCTCCTCTTTGGTTCCTTCCCCGGCTTCACTTGTCTCCGACGGAAAGACTTGGTCCTACCAGCAGCCACGCGCGATTTCATTGGACACCGTCAAGGTACGATGGTCATGTGCATGGTTACATTTACTATCGATTCAGCAAAGCCTAATCCCCCTCGGGGTTGACCGTAACAGTGACTGAGAACTTTTCTGATTCGCACTCCCCTCCCATCTATGACGCTGATCCTGGCCACCTACGGACAGCTTCTCCGCACTGAATCTCCACTGC